CATGGGGAAGGTGAGGGGAAGAGCAACCAGTGCACTTCCTGAGACCCGGGATCCCCAGGTACTGGCCCCAGCTGTCTCTGTCCCCTCCTCCTGGCCAGACCCCCCCCACGAGTACCCTGCCCCAGCACCCTGTCCCTGCCCCCAACAACACAGATGGGGCCACATTAGTGAGGTTTTGGAGCAGTTGTTTTTTGCATCTCACTTGTGTGGCCCCAACTGACTTTTCTGTGGGTTAGTGATCCCTGACTCAAAACAGCTTCCCTGCCCCCTTATAAATAAACACTGAAACATTTTGTGTTTGACATAATATTTTATTTATTTAAAAATGAATCCTGGCCAACAAGCCCCCATTGGGGCCAAGCCCCCATCTGGCTGCAGCATCGTAACACTCCTGCACCACCACCCCCGACCCCAAACCTGAGCCTATCATATGCTGGAACCCCATGTCCTGCACCCCCACATCCCCAGTATTCTGCCACAACACTCCTGCACTATCCACACACTGCAGATCTGTGTCCTGAGCCCATCATACTCCCAGCCTCCCTGCCCTGAGCTCCTCATGCACCCCCAGCCCAAACTCCTGCACCCTCACAGCCACAAGCTTACGGCTTGCTCAGCACCCCGACCCTCCACCTGACCCCAGCGCTCTCCAGCTTGGAGCCCCTTCCCTGAGCCAGCATCCTCTTCTCTACTTCCTCCTGCACCCAAATTCCCTCCCAGAGCTTGCACCTTTCACCCCTTCCTAGTGCTTTTTTGTGAGCCACAATAGCAGTGGAGACAGCATGAAGAACTGGGGAAAAGTTAACCAAAAAAAGCCATGCCCTGGGACGGATGTACCAGCACCTATTTTCCCCCAGCAGAGTGGGGTTTTTTGTTTGGTTTTGGTTTTGGTTTTTTGCTCAACAACTTTGCCCTGGCCCTTCATGCTGTCTCCTCTGCTATTGTGGCTCTTCATCTGGAACGGATTGGCCACCCCGGTATAGACAGTGCCAAAAAGCCAACATAAGCTATTTTGACTTTAGCTATGCAATTGATGTAGTGGAAGTTGCATAGTTTAATTTGAGTTTTGCCTTGCGGTGTAGACATGCCCATAGAAAAAAGACACTGCTAAAAAAACAGCTCCCACTGTCACTCTGCTGGAGCATTGGTTCAACACAGTTTGGAAGTATGGTCTCTCACTGAATTACCAACTCCTTCAACATCAAGGTTTTCTTTAGTGATCTCCCATTTAAGCATTGACCAACTGTGAGCCTGATTATCATATATGATAAAATCATAGCTCAGATTATTATAATGGAGCCTCTGTCTCTCATTCCCTTACCTAAAAGGGAAGGCAACAAGCTGCAGTCTCACTGAAGACTTCTCCAT